AGACTAGGGTGACATGTTTTGAATTCAAGCAAGTTGTGGAGCAAAAGTTGGCAAAGGTCATCACGAGTTACATTCATAAATGTGCTGAAAATTAGGTCAAATGTAGCCGAGCCTTTCTCCCAATGTACTTGGAGTTGCAGGATTATCCACCTACCAAATTGAATATCTACGAGTCTAGTTTCTAACTAATTAAACCATATTTTAATAAGACATTAGGGTAGAGAGATATTCGCATTTTTGCGAGACTGCACAGGCAGTCCCTATGGGACCCACTTGGTCGGTGGCCGACCTTTACCTATTTTTATCTCATTTTTGGGATGAGATTTGTTAATTTTTCGACCTCCTTCCATCCTCACACTCTCCAAATCCTCCCAAACAGTTCCCCCAATGCTACAAATAAATTTCAAAAAAATACACCATAATCCAACATCAAAGTTAGCCAAAGATGAAGAATAACCCCTCTATGGTGTTGTGATGTGAATAAGGATGATGGTGAGCTAAGTTAAGCTTAGGGTTCAAATTTTATCTACTGTCTATGGTATGTATAAGATCCTTTAAGTTGTGTTTAAGGTTAATTACATGTTGGTTGTGGTATTGGACTGAAAGATTACAAGATAGCACTTGAAAGGGGAAGAGATGTTTGCTATATATGATACGGTTTCTGTTGTTATGCATGTATATATGTTTATCAAGTTAATTGATGAAAGAAACATATGAAACTTGAGATTAGAAGTGAAGATTAGCTCAAGTCACTTCCATGATGTTGTATTGCTATTGATGGCTGTTGTAGGCTAAATATAACTTGAATTTAGACTTGAAGCTACTGTAGGATATAATTATATTGTGTTCTTGCACGTTCATAAGGTTATCTTGATGTTGATTAAGTTAAATGGATGGACTAGACATGAACTAGTTAACAAAGTTGCTAATTGAGGATATTTGGAGTTGTGGATTGTTTTCTTTCTTATAAATATATGGTATAAGGCTAGATTCATTGATGAATGACTTTATTATCATGTTAATGATACTGTTAACTTAAAGAAAAAAGTCTATAAGTGGTGATATGGGGTATACGGGTTCCAAACGGAGCTTGCCGCCCGTCGTGAGGTAGTTGTGACTTGTTGTCCTTATATGGTGTATTGTTATTGATACTTATATGTTTTAGGATTGCTCTAGTTGTTGTTGATGGTAGATGGTATTGGAGGAGGTCCATGTTATAGGGGAGATGATTCTGAATTTACGTAAACGATCCACTATCTTAAGTTACGGACTAAGCCTTTACTCAGCACTGATTTTAAATCTCCTTACGCTATGGTAGATTGAGTTAAGTTGTTTGAAGAGTTTCTTGGAAGGTATTAAGGACTCAATGGGGTTAAGGTATGTCAAGGATAATCCTTTCCTTCATTTTAGCATGATCCCATAAATACATGCGTTTGATAACGAGACATAATGAGAAGTTTGTATTCCTGAATTTTTGTACATTATCCTAGTCTCATAAGTTATCGTATTCTCCCTTATCGGGACTTTATATTCAGTTAAGTATTGTCTTCTTTTACTAAAGAGAACATAGGGTCTTATCGTATTCTCCCTTATCAGGACATTATATTTAGTTAAGTATTGTCTTTTTTTACTAAAGAGAACATATGGTCGAGCGCCTATGAGCGAGCCCAGAATGGCTGAGATACAAATCCTAGTATGGCCGAGCGCCTATGAGCGAGCGTACTACGGCAGAGCAGTTACACGTACCGAGCCTTATAGGGCCAGACAGTTATTTTACTTACTATATTGAGAGAGTTTAGTCAGTATCATCAGTTAAGCATATCTTCAGATTCTCTTTGACTCCTAGTTACTTTCATTTATTATATTATTAATTCAGCTTCATCTTTCAGTTATTCTATTGTCTTACATAATCAGTACATTATTTTGTACTGACTTTCCTTTGTCGGGGACAATGCATTTCATGCATGCATGTCTTGATAGATAGCTGGATATACCTCCCCAGTAGACAGAGTCAAACATCAACTTGGTTGGTAAGCTGCACTTCCTCGGAGTTACCAGGTCTACACCTTGGAGTCCATTTTATATATACAGGTTTGAGAGGTAGGTCAAGGCCCTATCCCGTCCATGATACAGTTCAGTTATCTCTAGAGGCATATAGACGGGTCTAAGATATTTTGTATATCAATATTGCAGCATTGCCAGCCCTGTGTACATGTTCAGTTTGGTATGGCAGGTTATAGATGTTCATGGCGGCCTCGTCGGCCTACACAGTTATGTATATGAGCTTTTGGGTATGTTTACCCCTCAGATAAGAGAGACTTTATTTTTAGATGATTTAGAATATGGCCTCGCTAGTCTTGATTGATATTGTCAGCTTGCCGGTAGGCCTCGTTGGCCTAAGTTGAGGGCTACCCCTCAAGAGTTCACAGTTATACAGTGGTATGCTCAGGCCTAGTATGGCACCAGGTGCCGGCTACGCCTCCCCAGGTTTGGGGATAATTCGATATGGTGCAGTAGAAATGGGTTGAGTGTCCAGAACCAGATCAATGAAGAAGTTGATATCTCTGTTGGGTGGCATCCCCGTCAAATCTGTAGGAAACACCTTTGGGAGCTCGTGCACAAATGGTACTGAATCCATGGAAGGAATGCCGCACTAGGATCACGGATATAGACCAAATATGCTAAAAACCTCTTCTCGACCATATGCTGAGCCTTCACATAAGAAATAACCCTCCTAGTAGAATGGCTAGGAGTCCCCCTCTACTCTAATCAGCGCAACCACGGCATGGCTAAGGTCACCGTCTTGGTGTGATAGTCCAAAATATCATGAGAAGATGACAGCTAATTCATGCCCAAGATAACATCAAAGTCCACCATATCAAGAAGTAGAAGGTCTACCCTAATCCCAAAACTCCTGATAGAAACCACACACAAGCGATAAACATGATATACCACAATAGAATATCCCACATGTGTGTACACATAAACAGGAGCACTTAAGGAATCCCGAGGCATAACCAGATATGAAGCAAAATAGGATGACACTTATGAATAAGTAGAGCCTGGATCAAATAAAACTGAGGCATATCTATGGCAAATCGTAACAATATATATGATAATGGCATCAGATGACTCTACCTCAGATCTTGCTGGGAATGCATAAAAATAGGGTTGGGCCCCACCACTCTGACCTTCGCCTCCCAGGCGGCCTCTCTTTGGCTGAGCTCCATCTCAAATAGCATGACCTCCACCTCTAGTAGCTTGACCCCCGCCTCTAGCTTGCTGAGCGGGCGGTGGAGCAACTGGTGCCGGAACCATGGAACAAGAACTCTATTATGGCATCCTGCCCTGTGACCTAGGGAAAAACCTCGTGACGTGCTTCAGATCTCCACAAGTATAACAAATTCTCGGCTACTGTGACTGCTGACCCTAGAACTGACCCTGTCGACCTGAATAACCACCGTGATAGCTCTAGATCGGAGGTACACTGATAGGACTTGAAGGTGCACTGTAGGCTAGCTGCTCAAGACGATACCCATAAGGACCACGACTGCCTGAAGCACAATGGGATGTTTGGAATGCTGACTGAACTGACTTGGGAGGGTGGCCTCTACCAAAAGAACCTCTGCCTTCAGATGAGGGACCACTGAAACCACCAAAATAACGAGGCCTTTTCTCAGATATCAGCTTCCCTACCCTGACCACAAATCATCTTGGTCCGTCTAGCATTCTCTACGGCCCTCTGGAAAGAAATATCATCCCCGGTCTCCTTGGCCCTCTGTAGTCTGATACCAAAAGCAAGACCATCAATGAATCTCCTCCCTCTCTCCCTCTCAGTAGGAAGTAAGACAACTGCATGGCGAGCTAAATTCACGAATCTGGTCTCATATTGGGTAACAGTCATGCCACCCTGCTGAAGGTGCTCAAAATGCTGGCGGTACTTCTCTCTCAGAGTGTAAGGAATGAACTTCTCCAAAAATAGTTACGAAAACTGATCCCAAGTGAGTTGCGGCAAACCAGTTGGTCTGCTCCGCTCATAATCCTGCCACCATCTCTTGGCAGAATCGGTCATCTGAAACACTGCAAAGTCAACTCCATCGGACTCCACAATACCCATGTTGCCCAACACCTTATGGCAACGGTCAATGAAATCCTATGGGTCCTCAGAAGGTGTGCAACCAAAGCGAATACGAAATAAATTTGTAAACTTGTCCAATCTCATCAACCCCTCAAAAGACATCGTGGACCTCTCCCCGGCCTGTGTAGCAAAAATAGGGTCATCCACCCTAACTGGCAGAACTACCGATTTCTGATATCCGTGAGTCATCTGCTCTGGTGTGTGAGTAGTGGGAGTCTATGCTCCTCGCCTAGCCTGAGAGACATCTGGTGCTATCGAAAATGCACCGGTATGGGTCACACTCTCCATGAGGCCCACTAAGCAGACTAGGGAGTCCTGAAGTACTGAGGTAGCAATAAATCCATCGGGGACCTGAGCTGATCTAACTGGCATGGTCTAAACAAGAACCTCCTCCTACTGCTCGATCTGAGGCTGTGGAATAGGTGTGACTGCACGTGCTCTAGGCTGAGCTCTACCTGTGCCTCTGACTCTGGCTCGACTTCGGCACCGGCCTTTACCCTGGTAATGGCAGCAACTACGGGCTCCGGCTCTTAACCCGCCGTGGATATTGTGCGTGTCCTCACCATCTGTGAGAGAACAACAATGGGATGATTCAAACTTCAATGATAGAATAAAATTGCACGATAGAGAAAGAAAGAAGTGAATTTTTCCTAAAGCTCTATAGCCTCTAGAAGATAAGTACAGACGTCTCCATACCGATCCTCCAAACTCTACTCAGCTTGCTCATGACTCGTGAGACCTAAGCAGCCTAGTGCTCTGATACCAACTTGTAACGATCCGGATTCCCAACATCAGGGTCGTAATGGCAACTAACGTCTACTTGCTAGGAAAGCCAACATTAGATAACTAGTTTAACATCTTAACCGTTTAAAGTAGAGTAATAATAGTTATTAACGATAAATAAGCGATAATACATGAAATAAACCCATAACATAACACGATCTATTCTAATCCCAGAAATCTGGAGTCACCAGTACATGAGCAACTAGAATACTACAAGTATGGTTTGAACGAAATACAACTATTCAAAACGAAATAAACATTATAGATAGAAATAGATGGGGACTTCAGGAACTGCGAACTCTAGCAGCTCTACCTCAAGTGTCTAATGTAGATATGATTCGAGTAGAAGCACCACTAGACACCACTGAGACCAACACCAGTATCTGCACAAGAAGTGCAAAAGTGTAGCATGAGTACAACCGACCCAATGTACTTCGTAAGTGCCGAGTCTAACCCCGATGATGTAGTGACGAGGCTATGTTAAGACACCTATGTAAATCATGTACAGGTATATAGATAAAGATACAAAATAACAGGACAATTAAAATATTAAATAGGAAGGAACATGTAGAAAGGGGAGTATGATAAGAACGAAGGTAGGAAGCAAATAAGGCACGACAACACCCTTCGAGCTTTTCACTCTTCCTCACCAAGCAACACTAATCCAAAACAGCAAAACAAGGTAGGAAGCAATTTCACTTCAATCATAGTGTAATGATAATTAAACTCAACTTTCAAAAATCCCAACAACTTCTTCAAAATAAACAATAGATATGAAACCGAACAATTGAAAAAGTAATAATCTAACTACGACATGGAAAGCATAGTCATTGAAACAACATAGTACAATAAAACAATTTTCACCCACATGCTTTATCCCAATAACGACGCATATATTAGACCTTACATATACGTCGTCCATACATATAATTCACGTAGCAAATAGACCAAGAAGTCCTAATTTCCATAAGTCAAGGTTAACCACAATATTTACCTCACTCCGCAACAAAGTTAATCAACCAACCATGGCCTTGCCTACTGAACAAGCCTCCAAACCAACCAAATCTAACCAATTGTCGATCAAACAATTCAAAATAAGCTTTAGACACTATTCACGAAGGGAAAAGGTTCAATCTTTGAAGAATTTTAAAAAGGCAACCCTAGGCCTGCTTGGTTAAAACCCGAGATTCAGACCAAAAACCGGTTACCCATTAACCCCCGAGCCTAGTTAAGTGATTTGTTTTGAAATCCAACCTCAATTTCAGATCTAAATCTCAATATTTACAAAATTTCCAATTTCTACCCAAATTCCTAATTTCTACCATGAAAATCCTAGATTTGATATTGAAAACACATGAAAAGTATTGGGTAATTGAAAGAAAATAGATTAAAGTTGCATACCAATGAATTTGGGAAGAAGAAACTCTTGAAAAAACACTTCTAGAGAGTTTAGGGTTGAGAAATGGTATAAAATGGGCTAAGTCCCGATTTCCCCCTCTTTTACCCAGATGCGGATGTCGCAATTGCAATTTCTTGTTCTCAATTGCGACCATCGCAATTGCAAGAAAGAGGTCGCAAATACGAACTGTGCCCCCAGCATACTTTAGTCGCAATTGCAACAAAACCATCACAAATGCTATGTCGCATCAAACCAAAAAAAGCGAACAAAGGTTCGCATTTGCGAACCTGCCAAAGCCTAGTGCTCAGTCGCAAATGCGACCAAGCCATCGCAAAAGATAAGTCTGGGAATTCCGCAATTGCGAACATTTCTTCATAAATATGAAAACTACCCTGCCCAGTCCCCTATCGCAATTGCGAGCTCAACTTCACATAAGCGGAGTTTGCATTTGGGAAGAGTTCATCGCAAATGTGAGACCTACAGCCCAATACTAAAACTGAAGCACACCAGTAAGTGCCAACGGTCAAGTAAAGTCAACTAACAAGGTGATAATTTAAAACCTCAAAAACAAATTAGAGGATGCTAAAGGCAGTTGGCCAGAAGAGCTGCTGGGAGTATTATGGGCATATCGAACAACAAAATCGAGCACAGTAGCAACGCCTTTTTCCCTTGTTTATGGTACGGAAGCTTTGATTCCGGTGGAGATAGGTAAACTGAACATGAGGTATTCCATGGCAAACAAGCAGGGGAATGATGAAGCAATGTTGATTATGTTGGACTTGCTTGAGGAGCATTGGAACTTGTCTTATGTATGAATGGCAGCACAGAAGCAGAGGATGAGAAGATACTACAATCGTAGAGTAAATCTTTACTATTTTAAAATTGGAGATTTGGTTTTATGAAAGATAACTCATAATACCCGGGAAGTCAATGATGGGAAGTTGGAACCGACCTGGGAAGGACATTACCAGATTTAGGTTAGCCTGTAAATTCAAAGGTTAGAGTTGCAAAAGATGATTGTTAGCAAGTGTAAAGGTAAAAGAGAAGAATGAGATGATACCTGAGCAACAAGATGTATGTTGTTGTTGATTAAATATTCCGCGGAGAGACCGTACATTTTTCTCCAGTCCTTATCCGAAGCCATAGGATTCAAGAAGTTGGCTACTCTCACTGACGTGGAAAGCAAATGGCATTTATTCAAAACAAAAAAGGTAACACTGCATTTACCGTTAAGGTTCCAGATGAATGTCAGGAAGGCATTTTCTATGTTCCCTAGATCAGGTGATAAGGGGGAACACACATCTTCCTCTTGTTCGGTTGGAACTAGTGGCGAGGCAGAGCTGGTGATACAAGAGCTGGAGATGGAATAGAAGTTGAAGGAGCATCAGAAGAGGAACCCTTCTAACCAAAGGCAATAACTGGGGCCCGAAAGCGGGATTCAACATTCTCAACCAAGTCGAACTCAGTAAAGAATCCTTCTACATCCTCCGGTTGAGCTGAGGGAGTTCTTCTTTTTCTTCTTCTCTGAAGAGAAACCATCATCATCTTCAATATCATCTTTGTCAAGGACCACCGTGGCTGATCCTTCTGGGATCTCTTCTGTTACTGGAGGCTACTCCTTAGACCCAACCTTATAAGTATGCTTTCTTTTCGATTTTTCCCTTGGGTTGGGGACTCAGAGAAGATATGCCTTCACCGGAAGCAAGAGAGGCATCACGAGCCCTCTTCCAGTCAAGGTCCTCTTGAATCCGTTGTTGGGCCACCTTCGGGTCATGTGAAACAATGATGATGGGACAAATAGAAGATCCATCAGAAGGCCTACATGTTGTTGAAAGAGGTCAAAAATTATCTATTGCATAGAGTTAAAAGTTAATAAAGGAATGGGGAATTTTCTCTTACCATGGTTCTTCGCCTTCTAGTTGAGCCTAATTGAAATTTCCTTCCACTTACGGGAGTCCGGTGTGAAAGTATCTAGAATTTGTTTGAACCCATAGTGTTAGGTTCTCATCTGCTGGAGGTACCCTACGGGTGGCTAAAATGAGAGAAAATGAAGTTTAGCAAGAGGGGAATTTCCTTTAACAAAGTAAAAGATGAATATTAAGAAAGTTTAGAGTGTAGTTTCAGGATTTAGGAATAGGAGATGCAGACGCCGATAAAATATCCCCGGGAGTGACAACAACAAACCTCTCCATCCAACCACATTCATTATCGTCATCAACACTGGCGACGATGGCATCGTGATCGTGTTTGCTGAGTTTGATCATGCCTCAACGGAAAATCATAGGGGCATACAGGTTGATCATATGAGCAAGTGTAACGGTTTCCTGAGCCCGGGAATACAGGAATCGAGAGGCAAGCCACCATGTGCCATATTGCCGGTCCTACTTGAGCCAAACAAACATGGTAGTTCCAGCAAAACTCCAAGATGATTGGGTCTATTTCCTTGTCAAGTCCTAAAGTGAAATGGTACGTGTAAACGTAAATGTACCCTGGTTTGCTGAAAGTAATCCTCTCCACTTCACTAGGGGCTGAAACCTCAATATTCTTCTAGTTACAATCCTCTTCTACGACAGGTATACTGACCGGACGAATAGAAGAGGAATATTCACCAATAACTATATTTTTGTCGTTGCCGGGGTCAGAAGATTCCTTTTGAACATCAATATCCATTTTGCAAGAAAACTAAAAAGGATGATCATGTTAGTAGAGGGAGAAACGACATCGGGTTTCTTAGACTTGTTCTTCTTGGATGGACCACGGCTGAAGCAAGTCCCTTTGTAATCGGGGGGAAGAAATAGCAGAAGACATAGTGATAGAAAGTATGAATTTGTAAATTTTTACTAAAAAAAGGTGAGTTGCAGAAAAGCTGTATGAAGACTCTAAGAAGAAAGCTTGTAAAAGTAAAAGATGAAAGTGGTGAAAAGGGAAGAAGTTTATAGGCGACAGAATGCAAGGCCATCATTACCTAGGTAACTGGCAAACATAATTGTCGAATCACGAGACAACACATGTTCGAGTCATTAAAATCAAAGAGACGTGCGTCCTTTCAAATGTTAGAAACCGTTCAAAAACTTTCCCGTAAAGAAAAAAGGTCTTATTTATTTCCCGATCACATCAAGTTGAGTCACCGAAAAGTAGGGAGATTATCTATACGTAAAATTAATGAATAACAGGTGGATGTTCGTCGAGTTGACATGTGGCAATAAGGACAGGTAGGATATGAGTCAGCAAATCGCTGACACTGGTTACAAGTATGTGACCGATATTGTATGAGTTCCGAAAATATCAAAACTGAAGGGAAGAATTCGAAAGCAAGGTGCCGATTAAAGAAGGCACCATTAAAGGAGCAGCCTTTACAGAGAATCCTAGCATTTACACTCAACCGTTATGCGGCTATCAAGAGAGGTCTTTATTTACCTTAAAAAGGAGCTTGATTTGTGAATTTTGTCTCCCCTAATTTAGTTATAAATATAGAAATTTGTAGTCATTTGAGGACCAAAATACTTGTATGAAAAAGGTTAATATTATTCTCTTATTTTGCTAAACATTGTTCTATTAGAATTTAGTTCTTGATATTGTTCTTGTTTTCAGAGAAGTTCAATTCAAGGCCCAGGCTTGTCTTTTATTTAAGTAATTTTATTTTATTCAATTTTGTTCTTCATTACTTTATATTCTTGTATCAATTTAATTCACGTGTCTATAAACCATTTTACGAATTCAACTGTACCGTTTTATGGGTAAACAACTGGAACTTAAAAAACAAAAAAAATCTGGAATGACAAAATACTACCCGAAGACAAAGACAATGGGTGCTTAAGCACCCACGCTACTAAATGTGAATCCGCCCTCACTAATACGAAGAGAATATGGACGTTAGATTCCAATCATTTTCAACATACATGACGAGTAGAATGGTACAACTGCACTAACACGGAAGTACAATTTATTACAGATTTATTTAGGTAGATAGGTAAAATAGCTATATATAGGAGGAAGAATTTTTTTCATCCATGGGTTTAACTTTTGTTTTTCCTGTAATTAAACCATCAACCTAGTCTTTCACCTCCTATGGGGGGTATGGGGGGAAGAGGGAATTTGGGGTTTGGCATGAACCTTACCTTATTTATTAATAGCAAAAGAAAACTTAATTAGCTCAGTTGGGGCGGAGGATATTAAGGAGAGATTCACCCAAGGATGGGCAGCATCTGTTGATGCAGCAATCTGCATAGAGAGGCCTAACATTGCAGTAAGAGCAGCTGTTGGAGCAAAACTCAGAGCAAGACTCTGCATTTCCAGTGTAGAAACAGACTACCATGAGTACTATTATCATCCAAATTATAACTAAAACATTGTTATTTTTCTTCACCATGGCTCTCTCTCTCCCTCTATATTTCACTTCTTCTCTATGTTTTACATTGTTTTTGAAGGATATATATATAGTACTTCTCAAGGAGAAAAAACACTATTGTACTTCTTGGAAGATCTATTGATAAAGCAAATGTAACATACCCAATTCACATATAGATAGTGGTTTTAATTAAGGTTTTTAACATTAAACTCATTGTACATTTAAATATTAGATCAAATTTTAATTTTAGTTGTTATATACGTATATGTATTTGTATGTTCCGATTTCTTGTCAAATATTGGGTTCAGTTGAATTCATTGTTCAAAAATTTTAGCCGCCCTCAAGTCTTCCCTATAGAGCCGCCTCTCAAGTCTCACCTAATCCCATCCGATCTCTCGCCCCCCCCTACACACACAAAAAGAAAACACATAAAATATGTTGACAAATCTATATTATATTTCATGATTAAGACAATAATAGAATTTCCTTTTCTGTTTTTGATTTACTCAAGGACAATAATTGAGTTAATAAAGTCCACAAATAATTGAGAGAGAGTGTTTGTTATAAGTTATTATCCAAGATAGCTACTAGCCTACTGCTTAACCATTGGGCCCAGCAATAGTTGTACAAGAGACTGAACTCTCATATTGTCCAAGTAAGCACTCTCCACGTTAGGCATCCAGCAAAATTGCTCTAGATAGAATTTGACTGAACTTTCTTTTCTGTTGTTGTTGTTTTTTCAATGAAGGAAACCCAGAAAATTAATCTGAAAACAATTTTAGCATGTATTTTACCTTTGAAATTTATCTGCGGTCCTTGAAATATTACTTCCTCAATTCTAACAGATGTCTGAATATGACTTTTATTTCTAAAAACTAAATTAACAATTAAAATTGTTAATATGTAAGAGGAACATGTAGGGTCCTATAACGAAACTCTCTCTCTGTAAGAGGCATGCCAACATACCGTTGAGACAAAGTTTCACTTCCACTCCCATTTTGTAATACGCATTAGAATTTAGATTAATTCCTTCGCTCTTTTTCCTACCACGTAGTTTGAAAACCAATGTGTTTACCCTTAAAACGGATAACAATTAAATTTGTATGCAGTTTTAAGGATATGTGGATTGATTCAACGTAAATAATTAAGAATATTTGATAAATGATTTAAAGACAAAATAAATAACCAAACCAGTTGCAATGTTATGGCGTAGCCCTAATTTAGGTTGAACCGTAATTTAACCCCGATCGGTCCCTTGGTTTGAACTCAATTGTGAATGAAGAACAAAACAATTAAGTAAGAGCTTTTACAATAGCTAGAGAATAGAGAATGAATTTGTATTGCCTTGAGTTGCGAGTTACAAGGTATGATATCAAAGAAAAACTTCCATTTTATATAGTAGGAGAGTTTCATACCTAGTACAAGTCTAAAAAGGACAAAAATCCTCCTTCCTCGTTAATTACTGATCCGTAACCGACGTAGATCTTGCCCGATGTCGGTTACAGATTAGTAACTAATGAGGAAGGAGAATTTTTACCTTTTTAGACTTGTATTAGGGATGAAACTCTCCTACTATATAAATGAGAAGTTTTTCTTTGATAACACACCTTGTAACTCGCAAATCAAAGCAATACAAATTCATTCTCTGCTTTCTAGGTATTGTGAAAGCTCTTACTTAATTGTTTTGTTCTTCATTCTCAATTGGTTTTGAACCAAGGGACCGATCGAGGGCAAACTACTGTTCAACCTAGATTCGGGCTAGGCCATAACATTGCAACTGATTTGGTCATTTATTTTATCTTTAAATCATTTATCTAATATTCTTGATTATTTGTGTTGAATCAATCCACATATCCTTAAAACCGCGTACAAATTTAATTGTTATATGTTTTAAGGATAAACAGTTTGATACAAATCTCCATAACACACTCTATTACGCTTGTTCTTTAAAGTCTTAAATTTAGGTCAGTTTAAAAATATCAAATTCGCAGTCTGCCTACTTGAACATTGATGTTGAGTCTGGCCATCATGGCGAAAATAATAATCTAGTGCATAGCAACGAGGTGCCTTCTGCTGATACCAACGGAGTCTTAGTTGCCGATCCGGTCTATGCTAACTCATAGGTGACCATCGATGTCAATCTACGAACCGATCCCGAAAATAGCGTTGGTGAGGGACCCAGACCAATAACTCGAGAAGCGCCCGAAGGCCAAGGCAATGGGGTAAGCTTACAGTTAATCTTCGAAACGTTGCAGGCTCAACAAGAGGCAATAGCGCAGCTACAAAATCAAAGTCACGCCCCCAAGAGGGTTGAGCCCGAGCAATCCTGGGAGCATTCAGACCGAATGACTCTATGAAATTACTTCGATACTTCCACATATTATAGGTAATGTAGGAGACATCTCTATTTTTCCCTCGGGGAATTTTTAGAATTCCCACTGCTTAACTTTTCATCCGAAGAAATGAACAGATCACCGAGAGACCGGGTGAAGCTGAGTCCGGGGTCAATCCCGAAATAATGAAAATACTTGAAGCATTAACATAGAGGGTGGAGTCAGGTGAAAAGAAAAGTGAGGCCAATGAAAATAAGGTGGAAACATACAATTCTAGGGTCGATCAAATCCCGGGAGAATCCCCGATATTGAAAGGGCCGGATTCCAAGAAGTTTATCCGAAAGCCTTTTCCTCCGAGATTGTCACCGAAGCTGATCCCAAAGAGGTTTCGTATGCTTGATATCACAAAATACAAGGGAACCACAGATCCAAATGAGCATGTGACCTCCTATACATGCGCAATCAAAGGGAACGACTAGGAGGATGACGAAATCGAGTCGGTGTTACTGAAACAGTTTGGGGAGGCTTTGTCCAAATGAGCAATAATATGGTATCACAACTTACCCCCCAAAATTCATTGACTTGTTTTCTATGCTTGCAAATGCTTTTGTGAAGGGCCATGCCGGGGCCTTCAAGGTCGAGACCAGAAAGTCAAACTTTTTCAAGGTTAAACAGAAAGACAACCAGATGCTCACGGAGTTCGTGTCAAGATTCCAGATGGAATGGATGGACCTGTCTCCGATCGCAGATGATTGGGCCGTTCAGGCATTCACTCAGGGACTTCACCCCCGAAGCTCCTTGGCTTCATAACTGCTAAAACAAAATTTTCTAGAGTACCCAACGGTGACTTGGGCTAACGTCCACAACATGTACCAGTCAAAAATCAGGGTCGAGGGCGACCAACTCGGAGCCCCTTCTGGGTTTGTTTATCCCATCAAGGTCGACGACAGGTCCAAGAGAGCCGTTGATCATGAGTCAAGGCTGGTACGGGATCGGTATCAACCATACAACACGGATCGAAGAGGAAATGGGTCCGGACGTCACCCCACAAGAAATGAGAAGAGAAGCGATCGAGGGCCCAATACCCGTGGTTTGATGAGTAAGAATGGTTTTTACAAGCCACTCGGGGGTAGGAAAGCACCGAGATTATCAGAGTATAACTTCAACGTTGATACTGCCAGCATCGTGTCAGCCATCAGACGTATCAAGAGACCAAGTGGCCCCAACCATTGAGCTTTGACTCTACCCAAAGAGATCGTAACTTGATGTGTAAGTATCACGGCACTCATGGTCACCGGACGAAGGATTGCCAAAAATTGAGAGAATAAGTTGTCTGGTTGTTCAACAATGGGCACCTCCGATAATTTTTGAGTGATCGAGCCAAAAACCACTTCGGGAATAGGGATGCCAACAAACAGGTTGAACAAGTAGAGCCTTAGCACGTCATCAACATGGTCATTGGAGGGGTCGATGTCCCCCAAGGGCCAATGATAAAGTGCACTAAAGTATCTATCACAAGGGAAAAATGCACCCAATATTATGTCCCGGAGGGAACCATTTCATTCGGCGACGAGGATGTCGAGGGCATTGTACAGCCTTACAATGATGCGCTGGTAATATTTGTACATATCAATAAATCACGAGTTAAATGTGTGTTGATTGATCTAGGTAGCTCAGCCAACATCATCAGATCATGGGTCATATAGCAATTGGGGTTAAAGGTCCAAATAGTGCCGGCAATCCGAGTGTTAAACGGATTTAACATGACATGCGAAACCACTAAAGGGGAGATAACCCTGTTGGTGAACATCATCGGGACGATCCAATAGACAATGTTCTACGTGATCGAAGGGGACATATGGTATAACTCCCTATTTGGAAGGCCGTGGGTTCACAACATAAGGGCGGTACCCTCGACCTTGCACCAGGCATTGAAATTCCTTACGCCGGGAGGAGTCAAGATGGTCTACAGAGAGCAGATGTCTGCAAAGGAGATCTTTGCAGTCGATGAGGTAATCACGGTGCCTGCGTTTTTGACATCAAGGAAAACAAAGCCGACCAGAAAGAAAGAAATTAAATAGCAATCACTGATGTCGGTCTCGGCCGAACCAGAGGAAAGAGGAGTAGACGAGGAGGATGATTACGGAGTTCCAAGATCGTTATTAGCTCCTGATGATACCGACTCCACCAAATCGACCGTCAAAGAGTTGGAGCAAGTCATATTAAACGAACACCTACCGGATCGAAAGGTATACTTGGGCACGGGGTTAACCCCCGATCTCAGGAAAAAACTCATCAATTTTTTTAAAGCTAACATAGACTGTTTTGCTTGGTCCCATCTTGACATAATAGGGATCCCGCCATAGGTAACCACTCATAAGCTGAGTTTGGACCCGAAGTTCCATCCGATTAAGCAGAAGAGGAGGCCGCAATCTGAGGTCAAGCATGCATTCATCAAGGACAAGTTATCCAAACTCTTTAAAATAGGGTCCATCTAGGAAGTTAAATACCCGGACAGGTTAGCTAATGTTGTGGTAGTGCCTACAAAAGGGAATAAGCTAAGAATCTCTGTAGATTACAAAGATCTAAACAATGCATGCCCTAAGGATTCTTTCCCTTTTCCTAACATCGATCGAATGATCGATGCAACGGCTGGGCATGAGATACTCAGTTTACTCGATGCCTATTCCAGGTACAACCAAATTCGGATGGACCCGGATGATCAAGAAAAGACATCTTTCATCACTAAATTTGGCACATACTTCTATAATGTAATGCCGTTTGGATTAAAGAACACAGGTGCTGCTTATCAACACTTAGTAAATTGGATGTTCGAAGAAC